ATCCCAAAACAAATGAAAACAACAGCAAAATCCTACTAAAACTGTTAAACAATTTCATAAAGGTTGCAGGATACAAAATAAACAAAAACTGAGTATCTATCATTCTGAAAATGAAATGAAAATATTTCCACTCACAGTTGCATCAGAAAGAATAAAATACTTAGGAATATATTTCACAAAAGAAGTACAAAACTTTTACACTGAAAATTATATAACATTGTTGAAAGGAATCAAAGGAGACCTGAATAAATGAGGCACATTCTATCTTCATGGATTAGAAGCCTTAATATTATTAAGATTGCAATACCCCCTAAATTGATCTATAGATTTTATATAACCCTTATCAAAATCCCAGCTGCCTTTTTTTTTTTTTTTTTGCAGAATTTCACCTTAAATTTATATGGAAATCTAAAGGACCTAGAACAGTTAAAACAATCTTGAAAAAGAACAAAGCTGGAGGATTCACACTTCCCATTTTCAAAACTTACTACAAAGCTACAGTAATCAAAACTGTGATACTGGCATAAGGACTGATATACAGCTTAATGGAATAGGTTTGAGAGTCCAGAAAATAGCCTTTACATTTATGGTCAATTTTTTTTTTTTTTTTTTTTTTTTTTGTGACAAGAGTACCAGGTAATGCAATGGGAAAAGAATAGTCCTTTTGACAAATTACGTATGAACCACTGGAAAGGCGCATGCAAAATAACAAAGTTGGGACCCTACTTCACACCATATGCAAAAATGAACTCCAACTGGATCAAAGACTTAAAAGTAAGAGCTAAAACTCTAAAGGTCTTAGGAGACAAAGGGCTATGTATGAGCTTGGGTTAGACAAAGATTTCTTATGTACAATACCAAAGGCACAACTGACAAGAGAAAAAGATAAATTGGACTTCATCAAAATTAAAAACTTCCGTTGTTTCAAAAGACACCATCACAAAAGTTAAAAGAACTCAAAATAAGAGCACACATTTGCAAATATTTGTGGATATAGCACATATTTGATCATGGGACTTTAATTCAAAATATGTAACAAATGCAATTCAATAATAAGACAAATAACCCAGGTAAACAATAGGTAAAAGATTTGAAAAGACAATTTACCCGAGAAGATAATCTGAACAACCAATAAGCTCATGAAATGTTCAAAATCACTAGTCATTAGGAAAATGAAAATCAAAACTCTAACGAGAACTACTTCACACCCACCAGAATGACCATAATCCAAGAGACAGACAATAAGAAGCAAGGATGTAACAAAACTGGACCCCTCAAACACCGCTCATGGAAAGTAAAATTGTACATTCACTGTAGAATGAGTAATTCCTCACAAAGTCAAACATACCTAGAATTACCACATAAATCAGCAGTTCCATGCCTAGATATATACCCAAGAGACCGAAAACACCTGATCACACAAAACCTTGCACACATCCTAGTAGAAGCAGTATTGACAATAGCTAGAAACAAAAAGCAATCCAAATGTCCATCAGCTGGTGGATGGATAAACAAAATGTGGTATATTGTACATATGACAGAATATTATTCAGCAGTGAAAAGGAATGAAGTATTGATACAAGTTGTAAACTTTAAAAACTTTATGCGATGTGAAAGCTAGGGGCAAAGACCACATATTGTATGATCCCATTTACATTAAATGTCCAGAAAAGGCAAACCTATAGACACAAAGTTCAATAGTGATTGCCTGGGTTTGGGTAGGAGTAGGGAGCGCCTGCAAATGGGCACAAAGAATCTTTTTAGGGTGCAGGAAATTTTCTAAAATTTGAAGATGGTAATGCTTGCACAACTTTGTAAATTTTCTAAGAAAATCATTGAGTAGTATCCTTAAAATGAGTGAATTTTATGGTCTGTAAAGAATACCTCACTAAAGCTATTAAAAATAGCTTAAAAACTATTTTTTTTAGTTTTTTGTGTAAAACTAAATTTTTTTAGTTTAGTTTTTTTTAGTTTTTTTTTTTTTTTTTTTGTAAAACCACAATGCAGTTTTATGTGTAATTCTGGCTTTTAAATATATATGGCTACAAGACTTTTTATTTATTTTATTATTTTTCTAAAAGACTTTATTTATTCGTTTGAGAGAGAGAGAGCGGGAGAGAGGGAGAGAGAGAGAGCGAGTGAGTGAGCATGAGCAGGGGAGGGGCAGAGAGAGAAGGAGAAGACTTTACCCTAAGCAGTGAGCCCCACACAGGGCTCTACCCCACAGCCCATGAGATCATGACCCGAGCCAAAGGCAGGTGCTTAACTGACTGAGCCACCCAGATGCCCCTACAAGTTCTTTCTAAGTTAGATCAGCCCCAATTCCCAAAGACAATGTGGCAGAGGCTCCCAACTCTTGAAAACCAATCCTAAATTAATATTATGGTTCTGTGAATAGATAGTTCAAGTGCATCAGTGCCTAGCACCTGTTAGGCTTCAATAGATGTTTACTGGAGGAACAATTAAACCCTCTTCCTGGTGTGATTTTTCTCTCCAAATACCTCATACACGAGATACCTGAAACTCAGTTACTTAGGGCAATTTTTTTTTATTTTAAACTAAAGAAAACTTAAATAAATGCCAATGTCCCCAGAGGAAAGCCTGCTAAAAGTGGGGTGGGTAGGATTCGATGGCCTAAAATGAGGTAACATATTAACTCCTTCATACTACTGGACTCATTTAGTTTAGGAGTAGGGCTTGGGGAGTGGGAATGTGTGATTCACAGAGTGAATCAGACATCCGAGCTGACCAAGCTTTAACTAACAGGAGTCACGGCCGATCAAGAGACTGAAAATCTGTAGATGAACTTTTCACCACCATTGGCCAGAAGTGACACAGGTCCCCTGTGCTAACATTTCATTTTTTCCCTGCACTGCAAAGAGGGCTAGGATATACAGGGGAGTAAAGAGATGTTTCAGTAGATCTGATGAGCACTGCAGTCCACCACATCAGTCCTCTGCAGCAGGGAACCCTGACTCAGAGTTCTTTGCCAGAACCAAAGCTTCCTCCTTCTGGGTCAACCTAAGTAAGAACCACTGATCAACAATTTAGGATCTTTTGAAGCAAGGTTTGAGGCAGGAGACAAGCACCCAGCCTGGTGTCTCTAAAGAACTTGGCTTTTTTGGGTGGGGAGGGGAGTAGCTAATCCTTGATTCACTTTTGTTTGCCCAACACTAGGGAAAGTAATCTGGTACGTGCTGGCAACCCACTGAGTGTATGTAATTTAGTTTCATCTCAGAGAAACAGGTCAGGTGAAAGGCTACAGTCGAGTAAGAATACCTCCCATCCTCCTATGATGTTCTTCAATAATAAGGTTGTTTTGTTTTTGTCTTTTTTTTTTTTTTTTTGGTTGAAATTCCTTCAATTCAATTGAATAGAACCAAGAAACACACTTAAATCCTGAGGCAAAAGGAGCAAGAACTGAGCCAAAGTGATTAACAGTCATGTTTACTGTGTTACCTGCACCACCACGAACACCACACCTAGTAAAATTTGTATTTATATCACTAAACAACAAAATAAGTTCAATGCTTTAGAAGAATACAAGGCCATGCCTTAAGATTTGTTAGTCCACCATGGGAAAGGGAAGTTACTTGGATAAAATCTCTTAGGAGGCTGCTACCAATCTGTACTCCATTATTTACAGTATTTAATCCTTTCATTTCCGGTCTCTGTTCTTGGAACCATCTTAATTTACATTATCAGTTTAATATTTTTCTATTACTATTTTCATTAGGTCTCACTCCTGCTGAAAACCCAAGACCAAACCCCTTGAATTCCGGCAATTTTGACTCTTCATGCAACTTATGTCCTTTTTGCTTTTTTTTTTTTAAACAAACAAAAAAACAAAGTCTCCAAATGAACCCTGTGCTGCAGCCTGAGGTTATTATTCTTTAGGCTTACACATATTTGCTAAGAGCTCATCTACTCCCTGGGATGCCACTTCCCTTCTTTTTGATCTACTGAAATTTTGACTATTGCTCAGGACTGAATCGGTTCCTAAGCTCACTGTGAAGCTCTCCCCTGAATATTTTAGCTCACACTGATCTACACTCTTGAAGTGCCTGTGGTCTACAATAGCATCTATGCATCCAGAACTTTCCAGAAGTTTTGACATAAATGTTTTGAGCTTCATTTTCCCAGCTAGAGTATGAGCTTCTGGAGGGACTTAATTTTATTATTTCATATTCCCATATAACAGAAGCCATTCAAGAAATACTTACTGCATACCTACTATAAGTTATGCCCTGTAGAGATATAGACGTGCCACTAAGTATATTTGTTAGTTGAATTACCGCCTGAAGATTCTTTAAGATGCTGTATTTTGGAATTATATATTGGGCTGAATCCTAAAAAAAGTATTAAGTTGCTATTTCGAATATAAGTTATTCTTTATTAAGATTTTCCTGAACTTTCGTGTTTTAGTTTTAATGAAAATCTCATTTTGAAAATATAAATGTTGGATTTCTTTTTTGAGAATTCATCCTTAACGTTAATTACCTACTGGTTCTGCTTCATATAACAATATTACGTTTTCCTCGGTCATTGGCAGATTTGTCTCTGAATTTCCTAATCTACAAAGACACATGAAATTTGGATCCAAAACTGATTCTAATTTTCTATTTTCTGGTAGATGAATTGTCTATTATGCTAGGTATAATATACGAACTTAAAAATTACAATAATATTACTAAGTGTTTCTTTAAATGCATATTAAAGCAACAACAACACACCACAGCTTTTTAGGATATATAATAATCTATAATTACTCTTATTACCTTGTTCCCTTTAGCATCCCAAAATCCACTGATTATTTGGAAACAACATTCTTCCAACCTCACCCTAAAAACACTTTCTGAAAACTCCTCTTCCTGTCACTCTTAGATTGTGCCTGTATGTTAAATTCTCCTTTGACGCTTATTCCTTTAAAACTACCGAAAAACCGGAAAAGTTTCTTTAACTCTCAAATCTCTGTGTCGTAAAATCCTTTGTCAATTTACCCCGTACGCAGGAGAGGTTCTCCGTTTCTTTTTCCAGCGAATTACACAGTTGTCTCGGCAGCCTGATTTGCCAGTTTGGTTCCCGCTGTACCAGTTTGTGATTCTTGTACAAATTAATAACCATGAAAAAGTCTAAAGCAGGGCAGTTTCAGATTAAATTATAGTTGCCTTTTCCCGTAAAGCAACTTGGTACCTCACAAAAATTCCAGGCGAAGAATGAATGATAGAGCACGCACCAATGGGGAGTGGAGAAGAGGATTTTGTCGAAGTTTGCAACCCAATCCTGGGGAGCCAGAGGTGGGAATTTTAAAACGTGTTTTTTTTTTCCCCTTGGAATTTTCTTAAAGTGGTATCGCTGCCTGTTGATGTTAAAGATTGTCAAGATCGCAAAATCGTTAGCTTAAAGCTTTTTGAGTGAGGCAAAATGTGAAAAGAGACACATTCAAATGGCCATACTGACACAGAGAATCATTTGGCTATTTTTGTGTCAGTTTCAGGGGCGTAGAAGTTATTGCAAGAGGATTCATTTTTTTTTTTATGATCAAACATCAGATGTTAAATTAACGCGTTATAATATTTCATTTTTTAAAGAAATGAAGACTACGTGGCTAACATTGATGCTTTAAAAATTTGTCGTCCTATTGTTAATCATTTTGAAATCACTTTGCAATATTAGGAGCCAGACTAGTTATTTGGGTCTATTCTTATCACCCTATTTTTGTTTTTACACAAACTGTAGGTTTCCTCATTATAAGCCTAGCAAGAAGTTCTTAAGCACTACAAATTCTTAGGTATTTAGCAATGTGTATCAAAATTCTTAGAATTACATGACATTCCCCATGCCATATACTTCAGTAACTTCTGAAAACCAGGTTAATAAATAGGAAATTAGTATTTCATTATAACTCGTATCCTGTTTTAGAGTAGATGTTATTTAGTATAACTCTCCTTTTGAGATTATTCATCTCTAACCGTAATTAAATAAACCAACGCGAAACTGGTTAAAAAGTCAAGGTTGCTTGACAATGCATCGATGATAAATTCATCAGCAGCAAGCTTTTCAAAGAACAATGAATGGCAGCAGTTTCAGGAGAGGAAATTTACAAAAACTCTTCGTTTCAGAAAGTTGCCAAATTAACAAACAAAATATTTTAAAAATAAAGTTGTTTTTAAAATGTTCCCTAACAGTGTTTGGAATTCTTTTCTTTTTAACCGGGATAAAGCTCTCTTCCTTTGATGTCTCCTTCGGCTGACATAGGAATTTTCGTCTTGAAAACATATTTATTGACGGCCTACTCAGTCACGCTAGGAAGTGCGGTAATATTTAACTTACTAAGCTGCTATTGTCCTTTTAAGCGATCGTTCGTCACAATAGTCCTCGGATATTTCAAGAGTGGAGACTAGGTTACCCGCCTCACCTTTGGAACAAAACTGTGCGCACGGCGAGCCCTTAAGTCCCATGCTTAGGCTCACCACTTGAAAAGTAACCTTGGCCATCTTACATCAACCCACAGGACCTCAGTTTTTCATTCGTTAAGCGAGTGTAATAAAACTACCTGTGTCATGAGATTGCTGTGAGGGTTTAATGAGATTATGCATGGCTCTTAGAGCGCTACCTGGTACACAGTAAGCGCTCGGGTGTTATTATTGTTGTGGGAACTCCCCAATGTATACAATGAATGAGAGCCGGAGCGCTTGAACGAATGTATGAATTAAAGAACACCTCAGTTACAGGCAATTCCTGACGTTCGAGCGCGCTAAATCGCCCCCTCAAAAAGCAAAGCAAAAGACTGCAATCAACCCAGCAAAACTCCTGCCGGAGCCGGAAGCCAATGTTGAGCGGCGGGCGGGGCCAGTCTGGAGGAAGCCGCGCTCTTGGCCAATAGGCACATCGCTTGGAAAACGAACTTCTCGTCCAAGCAGTTTTGAAACCGCGAGAACAGGGACGAATTATCGCGATGTTCCCTCTTTCTCTCCACAGCTCCCTCTTCCCCCACTCTCCGTGGTGCGCGTTCGGGCCCGTCCCGCCCCGCCCCCCGCCGTCCGCACCTCGCCCCGCCCCCCGGCACCCCGCCCCTCCCGCAGACCCTCGGCTTGCAGTTCAGCGCCGCCTGCGCCCGGAGCGCTGGCTCCGCCGGCGCCGAGGTGAGTGCGACGGCCTGTCGCGTCGAATGGCTCCCGTGGCTAAGGGCACCCCCTGGCCTGGCCCCCGGCTAGCGCGCCGGGTTCGGCAGAAGCGTCCGGGCAGCGGCGAGGGGTCCCTGGCCGGAGCGGGCCCGTCCCGGCCTAGGGTCGCCATAGCTGCCGGGCCCTCCCCGCCCTCCGTGGCCAGAGAATCCCGATGCCGGGTCTGCGAAATCCCTGCCACTGGGTTCGCCGCTTCCAAACCGTAATGACCTTAGTTAGTGTTTGGTTAACACGGGCAAAGTGGCAGGTGTTTTGCTTCAGACTTACTGAGAAAACAACCTTTTACAAATGCTTTTAATGTACAGTTTTTAATTCTCTAATCTCTAACATTAGGATATTGGAGTGGGTAGTCTACTGAATTAAACACGGAAGTCGGTTGGAGGGTCTTCTTTCCTTTTACACACGCCCGCTTAAAATGTGTGGAATTTTCTTAAGGTGGGAGGGTTTGTTTATTTGTTTTAAACAAGAATAAAGTGGATTGGTGTTTACATGTCAGAAAACTTGTGGAGGTGCAGTTGACTCTGATCAGTTAATACAGTTAAGTATACCATTTGTCTTTAATCGTAGATAAGAGGTAGTGAAGGGAATTTATGTAAGAAAATTACCCATCCTGTTACAGGCTGTATATTGCTAAATGAATGCGTTTTGGGAAACCATTAACATTATTTATTATAAGCAGCTTTCAGATTTCATTTGCGGAGACTTTATCTTCCAAACTGCCTTGGTAGCCAGTGCATTTTATTAGGGTGTAATGATGTTTTAAAGGCAGCGCATTCCCAGCTCTAAGGATCAGAAGGAAAACAATTAGGTTATACCAAATTCTCTCTCTGGATCTCCCATCAGAGAGGGGAGTGTGGATTTTGGATATGGTTTTGCTTTGTAGTCTTACCTTTGTATAAGCTTTGCCTACTCCCTAAGAAAATGATGGTAGAGGAGAAACACAGCCCCCACTGAAATGCTTGAAAGGCTATATTGTAAGGCAGACATGGGCTTTGGAGTTGGTCCACCTGGGTTAGAATTCTGGCAAGTTACTCTCTGAGAAACTGCTTCCATATCTATAAAACAGGGTAAAAATGTCTAGCGCGATGCAGAGTTGTACAGCTTAGGATCTTTTTTTAAAAAAATTTATTTATTTTTTTTATAAACATACAATATATTTTTATCCCCAGGGGTATAGGTCTGTGAATCGCCAGGTTTACACACTTCACAGCACTCACCATAGCACATACCCTCCCCAATGTCCATAACCCCACCCCCCTTCTGCCAACCCCCCTCCCCTCAGCAACCCTGAGATTTAAAAAACCCTGTTTTGTGAGATTAAGAGTCACTTATGGTTTGTCTCCCTCCCAATCCTATCTTGTTTCATTTATTCTTCTACCCCCTTAACCCCCCATGTTGCATCTCCACTTTCTCATATCAGGGAGATCATATGATAGTTGTCTTTCTCCGATTGACTTATTTCGCTGAGCATGATTCCCTCTAGTTCCATCCACGTCGTCGCAAATGGCAAGATTTCATTTCTTAGATTAGGATCTTTATGGCACGGAGCTGACACTCAGGATGTAGTATCTGCAAGATGACCATAGATTTCAGAGTGAAAAATATCTGCCTTGCAGTGTTACATGTCCTACTTCCGTCCACCCATCAGCTGTTTGAGGGTCTGCTTTGTGCTAGATACTGTGCATAGGCAGGTATACTAGAGTGGAGAAAGCAAGATAAGATTTCTGCCCTCAGGAGCTTACAGTCTCTTGGGTAGTTTGACAATAGGTACACCAATAAATATTTCAATTACAGATTGCAAGGAGTCCTACATATAAAAGAAATGGATTTCTCTGAAAGAATATCAGGAGAATAGTTTTGGATAGGGAAGTGATTTTTACTTTGAAACTTGGAGTTGATGGGGTAGTGTTTTCCAGGCTAAAAGGAGAAAAGCAAATGGTGTGCAGAGTTTGGCTCTTGAAAGAGACTGGGAAAAAAAGGACTAGAAAAGCCCAGGAGCTTGGTGGGAAGCCAGGGAGGGTGCTGCCTGATAAGGCTGGAGAGGCACGTGGGACCAGATTGTGAGGAGCTCTCAGTGCCTGATAAGAGTTTGATTTTCTAAAAAAGCTTCTGCAGGTGGTATTTAGTTGATATGTGTGCACTAGGGAGTGAGTTTATCTGGGAAAGGTATGGGATTTACATTTTAAAGGCTCCCTGCTAAGTGATTATGCAGATGGCCAGCCGGGAGATAACCGCGGCTTTTGGTTTTGGCTGGTGGAGAGATGTGGATGGATTTGAGATGTGTTTTGGAGGTAGAAACCACCAGCTTTAAGATCAGTTGGAGGGGGCAGGTGAAGGACAGGATGGAATCATTCATGACTTCCAGCTCTCCAGTTTACACAGCTGGGTGGATAGAGGTGTGTGCCATTAATTGAGATGAGAAACACTGGGGAGAATTTGGACTGGTCATGGGAATCAAAATATATTCAGTTTGAGGCACTTGTGAGACTTCTAACCTGCTTCAGGTTTACTACTTAAGTGAATTGTAACCCAGGAAACTTCCCTTTCCACACAGAATCATTGAAGTTGTTTCTAGCTTAGTTCCCCCTTGCTTTACAGGTGAGAGAATTAAAATGTAGAAAGATGAGTATGCTGTTCAAAGTCACATGTCTCATAAAAATAGGTAGGTGTGTAAGTGGAATCAGTAGGAGAAAGTTTTGAATTCTCATGTTGCTTTGGGGTTATTATTGACTTCTATGTTGTCTGCTCTTTTAGATAAAATGACAAGTGCTTTCTTATTAGCTAGGATTTGGAGTTTGGAAATAATAGAAAATAACCAAAAAAGTTATCAAAACTGCTTATCGAAAGCTTGTTACTACATTTTGCACTAACTTGATGTTAATTCCCAGTGAAAGTAGTTTTTCTTAAAAAAAAAACAAAAACCAAAAATCCTTTGAAAGATACTTTCTCTTGAGTTTGAGAAACGATACCCAGGAAGATGAGAGTATAATCTTTGAACAAATCTCAACTTTTTAGTGTTTTCACAT